CACTATATCTTTGTTTTAATTGAAATCATTTCTAGCCACTCTCACAACTCTGTTCTGAGATAATTATGCCTGTCCTCTTCGCTAGAGCTGTTCAAAATCGAATTGTAACTGATAAGCCAATTGCAAAATGGATTATTGGCTTATCAGTATTGGATTATCAAATTAATGATTGGTCAATGAATTAGAATTTTATAGTTAATGGGTTGTCGATGCGGGGACGACTTACTTAATTTCGTTATTGGATAACTGTTAACCGTTAAGAATCATTCTAGTAACATTTTTACCATAAGTATGTGTATTAAGCAAATATTAAAGTGCTTGCACCCTCAAAATTTAGACTTTCATATGTGTCTCACTGTGATTTACAATTGCTGAATTACCAGCTTAAATAGGGCTAAACAAATTATTTTGTTTGATGAAAGATTAATCTAAATTCAGAGTGAAAGTGAAAGAAGGGAGCATGAAATATTGAAATCAATACACCTTTCGACAATCGCCTGTTGATTCCTAATCAGATACTAAATCAATCGATAGCTTAATGGTTTACTAGCGAATTTGTATATTTAAAATTTGATATCTAATGAGTCAAACGATTAAACATAATTATCCATCCGATTTGTTCAATGAACAACCTTACTCTTCACATGTTTTCCTCCATTAGATGTTTTTTGTATCAATTTAAAATTTTCATTAAAGCTAAATTTAAGATACGGTTGAAAAAGTTTCCTTTAGTTGGATATCATGAATAAGAGACATTCCTCTCCATTATTTGAAAGCAACAATTTTCATACTTATGGTTCATTTCGACAAATTGAACCTTGAAGTCTAATTTGAAATTAGATTGATTTAAAGTTAAAATTTTGTTTGAATATGCAATTTGAATTTTTATATTGTATTTTTTTCCTCTCATAGACATAAATCCTCCATAATTGGTGAAAATTATCTCAATTTCTTCAACTCTTATGCAACATTATCAAATGAGCAAATCATAGTTCATAAATAAAGTATCAGAATGACAGAATATTCTGACGTGTTGAATTAATAAATCACACGTCTCTATGTTCCTTTTATAAATAAATCTTTGCAAGTACATATAATATCAAATTTTCAGATACACATAATTTTACAAAAATTCATTGGTTCAATAAATCGACAATATCAATATTAACTATTCTTTAATAAGATATTCCTTCATAGTGTAGACTCTTCAAATCGAGTGTAAGTCTTTTTTTTTTAAATAAGATATTCCTTCGTAGTGTAGACTCTTCAAATCGAGTGTAAGTCTTTTTTTTTTGATAAAATATAAGCTTATGAATCAAGTTTTTTGTTTATAAAGTTTTGTAATCACATAAAAATATAAAAATCCTATATTTTTTTTTGAAGAATTTAAACTTTTATAAACAAATACTCATTTAAAATCAAACTTTGAAATTAGATTTTAAAATTTTATGGCCAAACTTTCCTAGTATGAATTCTTGCCTTCTAGGCCTTGTGCCTTGCAAAAACTCTTCTTTTATCTTATTTCATTTTATATGACATACTATTATTAAATTTCAAGCAATTTTCTCTTCATAATTAACTTCTTTAAATATGTTTCTAATTTAGTTTAGTTTAAAAAACCAAGTAATTTGGAGTATTCATAAGTTACTAAAGAACTTTAAAAAATATTGTCTAATCATTCACTTTCAATAAATTAAATAATCGATTTTATACTTCAAAATTTTCTCCTCGAAACTAGAGCCGTCAATATGGGCTAGGCCAGTTGGGATGGCTTGGTCTAACCAGGGATTTAATAGGGTTGGACTACGATTTTTGGAGCTCATTTCGGAAAAGAGCTTTTAGCCAAGCCTGAATAAGTCTGCTGACTGCAGGTGCAACCAACGGGGCCATCGACGGACCGTAGACTAACCCACGGTCCGTCCTGTACATTCGTCAATGGGGTCAGAAACCCCCAAAATCTCAGGCAAGGAAAATTTGGTTAAGTGATGATCGACGGACGGACCTACGGTCCATAGGTCAGACAGACCACGGTTTGTAGTCCGTGACCACCGATTGACACCCCATTCACCCACTCTCTAACAAGAGCCACGGATGACCAACACGGTCCGTAGATGGACCTACGGTCCGTAGGACTGACCAAAGGTAAGAAATAACAGACAATTAGGGGGAAAATGCAGTTGGGTCAACTTCAAATGATCATAACTATCAACACAAAATAAATTAGGTGTCCCATGACCTACCAAAAGATAGATAATTGAATTAGCGTTCCATAACCACCAACCTTGCTAGAATCCGACCTACGAGTAAATAGTTATGTCCGTTTCTATAAAGGCCTGTCAAACAGGCCCAACCTACAGACCATCAATGGAACGACGGACCGTCTGTCCAGGTCGTCGTTTGGTCCGATAGCAACTCACCCAGGGGTCTTTTTATCTTTTCTCACTTCATTTAAATCCTAAGATACGTCTTTTTGACCTTGAATCATCAGATTTTAGTCAGTTTAAGCCTAGAAACATAACAAGAACTTACCTAAGTCAAAATCATAAATAAAAAAAGTTAGAAAATTAGAAGCAAGAGAGGAGAAAAAGCTCAAGAACCCTAGTTCAAGAACGCAACAAGTTTCCAACAGTTCCAAACTCGAAACCTAAGTGTTTTTTCATAAATTTAATCACCAGGTATGTGCGATTTCACCGGTGGGTTTCTTTCACCCACGGGTCCCTAGTTTTCAGTCAGTTCTTGATTCTCTTATCATGATTAAATCTAGGGTTCCTAGAATTTCAGCAGAACTTCATGATTTAGTTAAAGTATGTTCCAAATATCATGTTATTACTTAGATTATCCTATGAATTTGAGAACCCTAGCTTTGTATTTCTTTAGTTCTTGAATTACACATGCTAGGTCAGATATTTTAGTTATGCAGTTATACATGCTTCAATTTTTAATGCATTATTATCAGATTAATGTTGCATTCTCAGTTTGCATGTTCAGTTTTGAGCTATCCAATATTTACAGAAAATTCAGACATAATCAATTAACTACATAAATCAATGGGAGTAGCATAATACCGACTTGGACTAGGGTTTAGCGTACCCAATTAGTCCTAAAACTACTAGCCAAGTAGGTTGTAAGTTCCCTTTGTGGGCAAGCAGTTTAGTGATCACGCCAGCATGCCTTTATACTTTTGGCAGGGTTTATTGGGTCCTCTCGATGGGGCGTATATATCGAACTCCACATTTAACTCATGTGGTTTTATTATCGGTTATTAGTAGCTCCCACAGCTTAGTCAGACTCTCTTGCATTGACCATTTATCAGTATACTCAGTATTCAATTTCAGCATGTTATAAATTGATCGTTGCATTCAGTTAGCACTGAATTCTCTATATCATGTTCAGATTATTATACTTGCTTTTGTGCTTGTTCAGTTATGTTTTATTTCAGCTTTATTATATTGCACATGCTCAGTACCTTTCAGGTACTGACGCATACATGCGTTACATCTTCTCGTGATGTAGGTTCAGGTTCTCAGCATCCAGATCACGCATAGATCGATTTCTGATCTCCAGATCAGCAGATTCAATGGTGAGTCCTCATTCTCCGAGGACAATAGTCATGAGTTTCTTTTCAGTATTTAGTCTTTTAGTTTCAGGTTTTTCTAGACTTAACTGGGGCTTGTCCCAGTATTTCTAGTCCAGTTTAGAGGCTATTTTTAGACATAGTTAGTTTGCTACTAAAGAAGATCACAATTAAACTACAACTAATCTTTCAGCTAGCAAGACCCAACGACAATCTTAACCCATATTCGCTAAGTCACACCCCAAGAATTGACTTTATTAGACAAACATGTATAAGACATAGAAATTTATACCTAAATTAGTTTGTATTCAAATGGGTATGAAGATTTAAATCTTCTTACAAGACAAGAATGAAGAATCGAAGAGACCCAAGCAGCTTAGTATTGAGTTAATATTTCTTTTGTATTAAACTCATCGTTTTCAAATATCTCAGTTATAAATTATGGGTATTCCCCATCTTTTCAGTTTAAATTATGATTTAGCTTCCGCAGCTGTTTGTTATCTTTAGTATGCTCATGATCATGCCAGCAAGGTTAGCTTGGGATCACTTGTGGTCCTAGGCTCCTTGTTCGCGTCTCGGGGTAGCTCAGTGCGTGACAAGAAATATTGGTAGGGCCGGCCAGTGGGCCAATAAAAATTAATTAAAAATATAATATAATATTAAAATTTAATATTAAAGAGAGTCCAAACTCAAAACAATTATGTTATTGTTTTATTTAGATATTTATACTTTTACTTGAAAAAAACTTAATAAATATTATACAGATAATTTTATTTGTGGATTTGATTAAAAATTAGTAACATTAACATCATGTAATTTTATTTTTCAATATTTATGATAATATTTAAAATTATAGTATATAATTTAATTTAATAATTCTAAAAATAATATAATTTTTATAAAAGTGGGCTAGCTCGGCAAGCTGAAGCCCACGTACTTGTGGGTTGGGCCGATCGTTTTCTAGCCCACACCAAAAATAAGCTAGCTCGACCTGACCCTTAAAATATCGAAGCATGTATGAATTAGCCCGAATGGGATGGACTAGCCTATATAGATAGCTCTACTCAAAACATAAGGAGAACTATTATTAAGAGAAAATGAAAAAAATGATCCTTTGTACTGAATAATTGTTATAAACTTTTGTATTATAGTGAATGTCTATCATGTGGAGTCCTTTTTAGGATATGGTTAGAAAGTCCTACTTGGGGACCAAGTTAGATTTCTCCTATAAATAGAGTGCTCCTCTTCATTGTAAATTCATTCATCAAGAGAAATAAAAAGTCTTCTCTTCTTTTCTCTCTAGTTTCTTCTTCTTATTCTATAGTTTTATAACACGTTATTAGCACGATACTCTAATTTCTCAAAAGTGAAGGTTAGATTTGAAGAATTAATAAATGTATTATTTATTCTTTTACTTTTAATTTTAATGGCCAATCTTACAATACTAGAGTTCACTGCCCTTCAAAGTTCGGGTAAGAACTACCTCTCATGGGTGTTGGATGCTGAAATCCACCTTGATGCAATGTGTCTTGGAGACACCATAAAAGAAGAAAATAAGACATCAAAACAAAACTGTGCACGAGCAATGATATTCTTGCGTCATCATCTTGACGAGATTCTGAAAATCGAATATCTGACAGTTAACGATCCACTTTTTTTGTGGAAAAACCTAAAAGAAAGATTTGACCACTTGAAGATGGTCATACATTCAAAGGCACGATATGATTGGATGCATCTAAGGCTACAAGACTTTAAGTCTATACATGAGTACAATTCTGCCATGTTCAGAATCACTTCTCAATTGAAATTACGTGGAGAAACGATTAGTGAGATTGATATGATGGAAAAGACGTTCTCCACTTTCCGTGCCTCAAATGTGCTCTTGCAGCAACAATATCGAGAGAAAGGTTTCAAAAAGTATTCTGAACTAATTTCTTATCTTCTTGTGGCCGAGCAAAATAATGATTTATTATTGAAAAATCATGAGAATCGACCTACTGGATCTGAACCACTTCCTGAAGTGAATGAGGCGTACACCCACCATGCTAGGCGTGGAAAAGGTCGCGGTCCTAATCGTGGTCGTGGACGTGTACATGGACATGTTTGTAATTATGGTCAAGAACGTAATTCTATTCCTGACATTAATCATTCATCAAATAAAAAGGAAAAAAGAAAGGATGAGAAACGTGAAACAACTAGGGAAGGTTGTTTTCGATGTGGTGGAAGAGGTCATTATGCACGTGATTGTCGTACTCCCAAACACTTGGTTGAGTTTTATCAAGAATCACTAAAGAAGAAAGAGAAAAATTAATTTTATCTCTGAAAAATCAAGTTGATATCACACACATGATGTAGCAGATTTCTTCGCACATCTTGAAAGAAAAATAGATCATTTAATTGGTGATGGTTCTGTGAACATGGAAGAGTGACATTTTTTTTGGTAGTATTTATTAATAAATTTCATGTAATGATAGTTGTTTGCATGAGTATTAGTATTTTAAATTAGTTTAGTTGTTCATTAGCTTGTTCCTTAAATCTTAATTAAATATTATATATTTTTCATTGATTTATTTATATGATTCTAATATGATAGAGTTAGTCAAATACTAAACTTTATCACGTGTTTGTATTATATTAGGTCTTTAACATGGTCTAATGTTAAAAACATAAATTCTGATATTAACTAGGATTTACCATGTGTTTGTATTATATCAGGTCTTTAATTTGATCTAATATTAAAAGCATGCAGTCTGTTATTAACTAGGATTAAATAATAATTTTATTTTATTTTCCTAACAACTCGTTTTTGACTTAGAGGAAGCAATAAATTAAGGCTCAATTTTTAATATTTCATTATTAATTTATTCCTTTGAATATATTGTACCATTTTGATAGCACTAATATTTAATATAAATTTATTCTGTGTATGTCATTTCATGTGAAGATATGGATAATTCTAAGAATATATTATCGAAATATGAATATATTTGTTTGATTGATTCTGGTACAACACATACGATATTCAAAAATAGAAAATATTTTTCTCATTTAAGTATTGGCAAAATAAATGTTACTACAATTTTTGGTAGTACTAATATGATTGAGGGTTTTGGAAGAGCCATTGTAATTTTGCCCAAGGGAACTAAACTCATCATTAATAATGCTATGTTTACTCCAAAATCTTAGAGAAACTTGTTGAGTTTTAAAGATGTCGGTGAAAATGGTTATCATATTCAATCAATGGATGAAATAAATCTTGAATATCTTGGTATCACCAAGAATGTCTCTGGGCAGACATGTGTTATAGAAAAGTTCCATGCTTTATCTTCTGGCTTGTATTGGACAAAAATTAGTGCAATTGAGGCACATTTTATAGTAAATAAGAAGTTTACTGATTCCAATACATTTGTACTTTGACATGATCGTCTAGGACATCCTGGGTCAACAATGATGAGACGAATTATAGAAAATTCGAATGGATATCCACTAAAAGACCTAAAAGTTCATTTAAATGATGAATTTTCTTAAACTGCTTGTTATCAAGGCAAGTTAATTGTGAGACCATCACCAATGAAAGTGAAAATTGAGTCCCCTGCGTTCTTGGAACGTATATATGGGGATATTTGTGGACCTATTCATCTACCTAGTGGGTCATTTAGATATTTTATGGTTCTAATAGATGCTTCTTCTAGATGGTCTCTTGTGTGCCTATTGTCATCTCGTAACTTCGCATTTGCAAAATTATTGGCACAAATAATAAGGTTAAGGACACACTTTCCTAATAATCAGATTAATTCCATTCGTCTTGATAATGCTGCAGAGTTTTCATCCCAATCATTTAATGATTATTGTTTAGCAATTGGGATAAGAGTTGAACACTCCGTTGTTCATGTTCATACTCAGAATGGTCTCGCTGAGACATTAATTAAATGTTTGCAATTAATAGCAAGACCATTGCTTATGAAAACTAAGTTGCCCACTTCTGTGTGGGGACATGCAATTTTACATGTTGCAACACTTATTCGTCTCAGACTGACAAGTTATCATAAGGTTTCTCCATAACAATTGGTTATGGGTCAAGAACCTAATATATCTCATCTAAGAATTTTTGAAAGTGCTGTACATGTGCCTATGGCACCACCCAACTGCACTAAGATGGGCTCTCAAAGAAGGTTAGGAATATATGTTGGGTTTGAGTCACCCTCCATTATCCGCTATCTTGAACCATTGACTGGAGACATGTTTACTGCTAGATTTGCAGATTGTCGGTTTGATGAGACAGTTTTCCCAAAATTAGGGGGAGAGAATAGTGAAATAAAACGAGAAATTTTGTGGAAAAATTTATCATTGTCTCATCTTGATCCATATTCTTCTACCTGAGAATAAGAAGTACAAAAGATTATTCATCTGCAGAAAATTGCAAATCAAATGCCAAACGCATTTATAGATTTGAAAAGGATTACTAAATCACATATTCCTGCAGAGAATGTCCTAGTTCGAATTGATGTTCCTAAAGGACCATCCACTAGTGTCATAGCTAATGAGTCAAAAACACACCTAAAGCGTGGTAGACCATTGGGGTCTAAGGATCAAAATCCTAGAAAAATAAAGATTAAATGTCAAGATGACACTATAAAAGAATCTCATATAGAAGTTCAAAATTTGCATAAGTCTGATATTCATGAAAGAATCAATGAACTTGAAACTCAACAAAATAATGAACTATCCATAAATTTAAGAGATGTTGAAACTAATATAAATCGATCAGAAATAGTGGTTGATTATGTCTTTACATATAATGTTGCAACATATATCATGCAAGATAATGAGGATCATGAACCTCAATCTGTTATAGAATGTCGACAACGAAATGATTGGCCAAAATGGTAAGAAGCGATTCAATCAGAGTTGAATTCACTTGTCAAGCGTGAAGTTTTTGGACCTATAGTTCAAACACCTAATGGTATTAAACTTGTAGGTTACAAATGAATTTTTGTGCGAAAAAGAAATGAGAAAAATGAAATACAAAGGTATAAAGCACGCCTTGTGGCACAAGGATTTTCTCAAAGGCCTGACGTCAATTATGAAGAGACATACTCACCCGTTATGGATGCAATAACATTGTGTTATCTCATTAGTTTCACACTCCATGAGCAACTTGAGATGCATTTGATGGATGTGGTTACAACCTACCTTTATGGATCACTTGATAATGAGATATACATGAAAATTCCTAAAGGATTTGCGATGCCTAAATCATGTAATTCAAAATCTCGATAAATGTATTCAATTAGGTTGCAAAGATCATTATATGATTTAAAGCAATCTGGGCGCATGTGGTATAACCGTCTTAGTGAGTGTTCAATTAAGTAAGGTAAACAAATGATGCACTTTGTCCATGTGTCTTTATAAATAAAACAATATCGGAATTTATTGTACTTGCTATTTATGTTGATGACATAAATCTTATTGAAAATCCAATGGAGCTTCAAAAGGCAATTGATTATTTAAAGAACGAATTTGAGATGAAAGATCTGGGAAGGACAAAATTATGTCTTGATTTACAAATTGAGCATTTGACAAATGGTATTTTTGTTCATCAATCTACCTACACAGAAAAAGTGTTGAAAAGATTCTGTATGGAGGAAGCGCATCCATTAAGTACTCCGATGGTTGTTCGTTCACTTGATGTGAATAAGGATCCATTCCGACCTCAAGAAAAGGATGAAGAAATTCTTGGTTCTGAAGTACCATATCTTAGTGTAATTGGTGCACTAATGTATCTTGCTAATACTGATATGGGCTTATTTTATTCTATTAATTGTAGCCCAAATCTTGTTGGTTATGCTGATGCAGGATATTTATCTAATCCACACAAAGTTCGATCCCAAACAGGCTATGTGTTTATATGTGGGGGGACTGCCATATCTTGGAGATCTACAAAGCAGTCCATTGTAGCCACTTCATCTAATCATGCTGAAATAATAGCTATTCATGAAGCAAGTAGAGAATGTGTGTGGTTAAGGTCTATGATACATCTCACTCGAGAGAAATGTGGTTTGAAATGTGATAAAGTACCCACCACTTTATATGAAGATAATGCATTATGCATAGCACAACTTAAGGGAGGATTCATAAAAGGAGATAGAACAAAGCACATTTCACCATATCTTTATTTATACACATGAACTTCAAAAGAATGGTGATATAAATGTACAACAGATTTGTTCAAGTGACAATGTGGCTGATCTATCCACCAAGTCTCTACCAACTGCAACTTTCAAGAAGATGGTGCACAAGCTTGGAATGCAAAGATTCAAGTCTTTGGATTGATGTTCTCATTAGGGGGAGTTAATACGCATTGTACTCTTTTTCCCTTACGAGGTTTTGTTTCACTGAGTTTTCCTTGTAAGGTTTTTAATGAGGCAACCTAGATGCATATTAATAGATATGTGTACTCTTTTCCTTTACTAGAGTTTTTCTTTTCTTAAAGTTTTTTTTAGTAAGGTTTTTGACGAGGCACTTCATCTATGAATTAGACATTCAGGGGGAGTGTTATAAAGTATTTGTATTATAGTGAATGTCTATCATGTGGAGTCCTTTTTAGGATATGGATAAAGAGTCCTACTTGGGGATCAAGTTAGATTTCTCTTATAAATAGAGTGCTTCTCTTCATTGTAAATTTATTCATCAAGAGAAATAACAAGTCTTCTCTTCTTTTTTCTCTAGTTTCTTCTTCTTATTCTATAATTTTATAACAATAATTTTCATTAGCTAAGTTTTAAAAAAAAAATTTCTACCACCTTCCATTTTTATCAAATATTTAACAATTTATGCCTCTTAAATTTGATAGAAATAATGAAAAAAAGATTTATTTTTAAATATCAAAAAAGTCTTTATCAAAATGCAACACAAAGTCGCACCACAAAATAAAATAATTAAAAAAATGCAAAAATCACAACTAAAAAAATCCATAAAATTTTGAAATAAATTAAAATAACACAAACTATGAAAATTGTATCTCTAAATTTGAGTTGCAATAATCACCTCCTAGTTACATCAAATCTAAAAAAGTAAAATTTTACGGGATTCGACTTCTCTTAATTTCTTTTTTTTCCATTTTTTTTAAGTTTTTATTTGGATTAGTGAAACATGGCATAGATTAAAATAAATGATTAAGGTTTAATTTTCAAAATAAATCTCTAACCATAATTTAATTAATAAATACATTATATATTAAATATTGATAATTATTATAATATAACTATCCTAGCAACATATTATCTTGTCCATAAATATAGGGAAAAAATTCTCTTCCTAAATTTCTTTTATACGTAAGATTTTTTAAAATTTTCTTTTAAATAATCTTTTTATCTAATTAACTGAGTAGAAGTATAGAAACTATAATTTAACTATCATATGTACTGGTATCACTGTATTCGTAATCTTATAATGAAATTAAAATTAGTTTGTTAAAATGATTTGATTATCTCTAGGTAATTTATTAATCACGGATCAATATGCTTTTAACAAAAGATTATAATAAAATTATTAAATAAATGAAGAAAAAAAAGATCCTACGAAAAAAAAGGAAGAAAACTTTTCTTTTCTATATTTATGGACAAGATAATATGTTACTAAGATTGTGAGATTATAATAATTTTAATATTTGATATAAATCATGGTTATAGATTAACTTTGAAAAATTAAATCTTAACCATTTATTTTAACCTATGACACGTATCATTAATCCAAATAGAAACTCAGGAAAAATAGAGAGAAAAAAATGAAAAAAAGGCGAATCCAATTTTACGAATATTTAAAAAACCAAAAATATTAACTTTCGACAAACTTAAACGTCTAAGCTTGCGTATACTCGACTCTTTCTGGTCATGTTCTCAAACATTCACTACGTTGGGATCCATATTGCAAAAATGGGTTAACTTAGCGGGTCATTTCAACCCGACCCGACCCGAGTTGAAATAAATTACAAAACAGTGTGTTTTGTCTCTCTTTTGGGGGTTGAAAATGGCGGCATCATTCAGATGGGTGTTACAGCTCCACAAGGACGTACCAAAAGCAGCAAGATTTTACTCAGAGGGCTTGGATTTCACCATTAATGTCTGTACCCATAGATGGGCTGAGCTCCAATCTGGGCCTCTTAAACTTGCTCTCATGCATTCATCAACGTATTCTCTCTCTCTCTATCTTGCTAAATGTCTTGATTTATCATCTAATCAGTTTATTCTGGATGAAAATGTGTTAAATTTCACAGTTTGGGTTATGGGGTTAGGTAGTTTACTGTGCTTATAAATGAAATTTAGTGTTTTTATTTATAGATTTTCAGCCTTTTTATTTATTAAAATGTGTTCTTTCCCTTGCTAATTGTGCTTGAATACTCATCCAAAAATGTTATTATTCAGAAAGATGTGTTGAAGTTGTCATTCTTTGGGTTTAAAAGTTAGGATCTTTTAGTGTTTCTCTACTTTCAAGCAGTTGACTGTTTGTTGATTAACATGTTATATTGTCCTCATTTTGGGTTCTGTCATTGGGTAATTTACTGTGTTGTAATGGAAGAGTGGTTTTGGACAACTATAGTTCTCATTTCGCCTCATATCGAATTGGTGAAAATATACATTTTAAATTTTTTTTTCATCAAAGCTCACTTAGTTTGAATTTCGGGAAGCAGTTGGAATGGACAGTTCATTTCTTAGGGTGCTTTAGGTATGGAGGGAAAATGCTTTTTAATTTTTCTATGTTCGGTTGGTCAAAATTTTCTCAAGGAAAACACTCCTTAATAATGAGGAAAATGACTTCCCTTGTGGAAGTAAGGAAACATGTATCACAAGTGGCATCCACAGTAATTGTGGCCTCCCCACCCTCCAACACACTTCATCTTTATCCCACCGGCTACATCCCCACCATCCTCCAAAACAGTTGGAAAAATGACTTCCCTATTGGAAGTATGGAAAACATGTACCACAAGTGGCATCTACATTAATTGTGTCCTCCGCCACCCTCCAACATACTTCATCTTTATCCGAGCCGGCAACATCCCACCGTCCCATCTCTTGTAGTATTTGTCTAGATTGTGTACAAATGCTTTTAGAATAGGATTTTTTGCTTACGTACCAAATAAAAGAAAATATGTAAGAAACCTATTTATTTTTCTAGTGAACTTTTCGAAAATATTTTCCATGAAAGCCATTTTCCTTCATATTGAACGCACTCTAAGAGTTAGAAGGCAGCTTTGAGGAACAGTTCCTGTATGCATATTTTGGAGTATTTGGCTTGAGAGAAATAATAGATGCTTTAGTGTGAAGAAAGAACATATGTCTTAAGAGTCATTCTTGCGGTGTAAGAAGAAAATAATTACTGACTTTATTTCTTTGTCTGAGGTATGAACTCCATCGACCTATACAATCAACAAAACTTCCGTGTACTACAATAGCACCTTCTTGGAACATATTTGGTACAAAATTACATTTATCATATGTGCCAAACATCTTGGGACATTGGGAGTATTTCTTTGGGTGGCTGCTGATGGGTGATGTAACAGGAAAGGTCATATGAGAAACTCTAGTTGCTCCCAATCATTTCTTGAATTTCAGGGACTATGAGTATGTTCTCGATGCATCTGTAGAGGTCTTTCCCTTGTTGGATGTCCATCTAAAAAGTAGTTTGAGGGTGCTCAAGGTAGTTGATTGTGTTCTTATCTTGGTTTTTTTTGGTTGGTATTTAAGTTATCTGGAACAAAATTTCGATTGTTACTTACAGTTGGTGGTTTTCTAGAATTCATATTGTCATCTTTTCAGGACGTGAGGTTTTATATGTGTTTTTCCCCTAGGTAATTTTATTTTGAATACTCAGCTCACAGTGGGTTGAGCTGCTTTAACAATCCACTTATGCCATAAATATTTAATTGGGTCTCAAGATGTATCGAGATTCTCATTTTGGTATTGGGAGTTGGACAGTTCAGCATGCTTATACTAATTTTGTAGTGTAATTCATACTTCGTGGCTTTGAGAACTTGCTCCTCTCATAATCTTTTTAATAGGAAGTAGGGTGCTTAAAGAAGTTACATTAATTATTTGGATTCAAATTCTCACTTTGCTACCTAATCCTAATGCGCTAATAATTTGCTAGTGGCATCCATGCCCTTTTAGATCATTGGTTAATATCTTTTCAAAAAGAGGTATTTCATTAGTTATAGTTGATTGGATTAGAAAATCTTTTACCTTTTAACATCATAGTGAGTTACATGTGCTAAGCTAATTTTTCCTTCTTCTTTTTTGATCAGTAAAAGATAAATATATAGATAAATCAAGTAAGTGGTCAGGAATTGTTGGGCTCCAATGCGGGTACCAGACACCGGGTGGGAATCCCAAAAAAAGTAAGTGCGGACGAAAATGTACAAAACAACAACACTACAGGTTTTGTTATGTGCTAAAAAAGCTAACATGGCTCCTACGACATTAAATGTAGCCATGTTGTACCGAAAAGAGAGTAAGAAAATACATCTGAATTTAACTATGGACACATATTCTTTCTTGTTCTCAAAGATTCTAGTGTTTCTTTCCTTCCAGATTGTCCACCAGATAGCTGCTGGAGTCGCATTCCATAATCTGATTGATGCATTTCCTAGACCTTTTATGTGTTAGCATGACAAAAAACTAAAGGTAGAATAGGGCATTGTCCATTTTAAGGCCTAGGACGTCAGAGAAAAGTTGCCATAATTGGGAGATGAATGATCAATGAGGAAGATGGTTGAGTCTTCTACCTGACATTTGCAAAGCGCATTATTGGACCTCTTTTTTGCAGATTGCACTACGTTAGGACAGCTTCTCTTGTTACCGACCAAGTGAAATAGATGACCTTGGAGGGGGACTGCACTTATCCAGATTCTTTTCCAAGGCCAGGAAGAGTTTAAAGAACTATTACCGGAGAGAAATAGATAACCTTTTCTGACCGTGAATCTACCATCAGGAGCTCCATTCCATGGCAATGTATCAGGCATATGAACTTGAATGACATATGAAGGAATGATTCTGGCAGGAAATTTGTTTGTGAGGAGGAATGTCAAATTTTGGACTAGACATTGTAAATTATGTCAAGCTTGGGTTCCAATCATTTCTTAGTGATGTCAACAGGTACTCATTGAAGCTCCTTCCGGAGTAGCATATACCATCATATTACCAATCTGACATTATTCTGGTGTTCTATTGAGGAATTAGACATTGTGCAACTCTGACAAGATAATTAGAGGTCGTTTGGTAGATTTTAGTAGAAAAAATAATGCATGCATTAACTTTGTGTATTATTAGTACCTTATTTGGTGAACTTTTTAGCCTATGTATAACTAATGGTTGCATTAGCTATACACTCTACTGTGTAGTGAGGTGTGTATTACTATTACTAATATCATGGATTTTCATGTTTTAGTAATACAAAGGGTTTCAACTCATGCATTAGAATGATTAATGACATGACTAGCCCTCAAATCAATTGTAGAAAATGATGCAAATCAGCTCACTCAAGCTTATTTGGAGTAGCTGATACTAATGCTGGAAGTGGGATACCAGACAGAAGACACATCATGGATCAGATTCTTAAGATGTAGTGAGTGTTCAGAAAGTCTAGGGAGATCTAAGTTTTAATCACATCCATACGCGCTCAAGTGTTAGAACATTCCAGCCCTTCTAATGCAACTATGAACCATCTACTATATGTACAAATGCCAGTTCAGTGTGTGTAAGGATGATTTATCGTTTGGTAGAGTTTGTACTTGTCAAGATAAGGTCAAGTTATGATAATCCTCAGCCCTTACTGAGTCACCTTCACAGTCCTGGATATGCCTTAAGCTTAGTTTGTTTAGTTTGCATTCAGATATATGGTAGCCTAGTTTGATATCCTTTGCTTACTGTACATTCTGCTGCTATATTAGCCATTGCTCCTTTATCCAATTATCTGTCTCTTAATTAGTTCTCAGGAACCGAGATTTGTGTGATGACCCTATGAACTTTGTTCTTTTATCAAAACTTTATGCAGTTACAGTCACAATGTTCCAGCTATTACTTCAAGTTCTAGTCTGCAGCTCAAACTCATACATTAACTATGATAATTGTCTGTCTTCGCTTACTGAGTAAAATCACTTCGTATCAATCGGTCACTTTTTTCTGTTTTGATTTTTTTTTCTTGTTATTGAACATCATACAACTGGTTAACTGCTAACTTTTAGTTTTACAGCGACATTGTTGTGCAGAAGGGATACTCATCCCTCCTATCCTTTACAGTTGGTGATATAAACAATTCGGTAACCAAGCTAATGGCTTTAGGGGCTGAGTTGGATGGTCCTATCAAATATGAAATCCATGGAAAGGTAACCAAAATTTTATAAGGTTGCTATTCTACTTTATTATTTCTTTCAAGTTTTAAGCATTAGTATCACTGTTATTGTGCACTAACAATCATTATTGAATAATCAGAACTATTTTCTCTAGCTGCTAACTGTGATTTCTTTTTCACCAATTAGGCATTCTATTTTTTTCCTTCTTCCCTTTTTAGCCGAGAAAGTGATAGCAAATTCTGCTTTCAACTAGCATAAAATTTGAACTTTGATGTGCTTCTCTCTGTGGAATGGTTCATATTTATGTGGTTTGCTTGTAGTTGTTGACTGGCAATCTATTACTGGTCTATGCTTGTTTTTTACATATTGATTCGGAATTTTGCTGTGCAATCAGCATCAGTTTCTCCCCATCATTTATGTCCATGAAAGCTGACTATCGCATACTGTATATGGTTCGCGTAGGTTGCTGCATTGAGGTGTGTGGATGGGCATATGTTGGGTCTTTATGAACCCTCCTAAGACTTCTTTGAGACGACTGCTTGCAGATTGCGACTTGTATTACAAAGGGAAACTGGATGCTTGACACAAGTTTTGCATAAAGAGAAATTTGACCTCTTTTTCATGGAGGTAAAGCACAAGAAGATAGAGGAGATAGTGATTACTCATTAATCTACCAATGGTTTACAGCAAGAGACGACCCTTAATAAAAACTTAATAGATTGAGAGATATACGGGTACAATATCATTCTGATCGAAAAATGCAAGTTCAATGTGAGGAGATTGTACGTATGATATGAAAAAATTATATTAAAGTTTGATTAATTAAAGTTAGATGAATCAATTACTTAAGTGGAGAACAAAATAGCTTTGCAATAATTTATTATGCAATTTTATAATCTTTTATTTTATTTGATAAAATTGAATGAATAATCAAAGTTATTTTTAATAATTTTACAACTCATGAGATTCTTATGTTTATGAAAAAATGTACAATATAAGATTTCATTTGTATGTCGAAACAAAACTTCAATTTCATCTCATGACTTCATATTATGATATTACTTGAAACAACATTTGAACATCATTAAAAAAAATTAAATTTAAGTTAAGAAATAAAAGAAAAAAGAACTATGTATTTGTTATAAAAAATGTTTTAAAACTCAAATGAAACAACTCAATTTTTCTTATAAATAAATAAATATTTTACAATAATATCCAAGATGATATATTGCAAACAAATGAGTAACCTTCTTATTGACTAGAATTAATTAATCTTTACTTTTATAAATTTATCATATTATTATGTAAAGCTATAAACACCTAATAATGCTATACATAGAAAACAAGTCGTAGGTAAGAATTTTAAAAAATCTAAATTAATATAATCTTTATATATGTGTATATATATATTTAAAGCCTCTTGTTATAATTGAACTTTATACAATTAATTTGTTTTTAAACGTCTCACTCCTTACTAGTAACACCACCAAAACCTTGATCCCACAAACAAAACATAAATGTGGCCACAAATGGTCCTATACAAAGGCAAAAAGTGAGTCATAATAGATACAACCAACACAATGTAATGATATTAATCATCCAAACAAGATACAAAAGATCAATCAAACAGTGATAAAGAACAAATCAAAACATGATGCACACTGTTTTAAGCCCAGTGAAGAGCTCCAGCACAATAAGAAGCAAATAGGATGAGTTTGGTATAGAGAATCAGGACGAGGGGAATGAGATGATGACAGGAGATTTACTCAAGCAATACTATTCCTGTTGTTGCTGCAGCAATTGCTCCTTTAAACGAGCAACTTCTCCCAGTGACTCAGCCAGGTTAGTGCGCATAGTCTCAATTTCAGTATGGAGGGCATCATTCTGTTCCCTGGCAATATGGAGATCATTCAAAAGACTGGCTACTAGGTCAGTAGCCCTTGGAGGAGCAATAGGAACCTGGTCGTTGTTATCAAGTAACCTCCCGTCAACAACAGTAGACATGTTTTTCATGTTATGAACCAAATGATCTGCCACAACCGGTAGAGAAATGCCTTGGTTAACATGGCCATCAACCTTTCTAGTCTTATGATGTGGCCATCTAGGTATATCACACGTTCTACTCATTCGTTTCAATGTTGATTTACTAACTGCAAGTCCAGAAAAGTTCTTCTAGTGAACCTATGCAAATATCATAACTTTATATATGATCATATTGCATTGTATGAAACTATAGAAGCAACGCAATACTGAGTAGAGATAGGGTAAAGTATAAATTAGAAATAGTAAATGATAAATTAAGAGAGGGAAATATTGAAGAGACAACATTGATCATTGCACAAAATGTTTCTTTTCGTTTTACCTATATGATACTCCCTCTATAACTATTTAGTTGTCTAACTTCCTCTGTAACTATTTAGTTGTCTACTTTTTCTTTTTTCATTTTACCTATATGATACTTTCTTTGTAACTATTTAGTTGTCCACTTTAGAAGTGACACACATATTAAGAGCTTGTTTGGCTCAGCTTAAAAGCTGGTCAAACTGACTTAAAAACTGGGTTTTTGACTTATTTAGCTATTTGGCAATACTCAAAACAGCTTATTTTAAGCTAAAAAAAACTTATTTTAAGCCAAAAGTTAAAAGATGGGGTAGGGGTG